TACTAATGGTGTGTTCCCCCCTTATAAAATGGTCCAAAAATGGTCCAAAGAAATGGTCCAAAAGATACTCCAGTCCAGTCCAGTCTACATCTAAGCCTCTATCCCACCCTCCTCCTTCATTTTCTTCAATAGTAAGGATAAAAAGAAAACCTGTTTCCGTTGCCACTTAATTTTTTTCTTTTCAAGCTTCAACTACAATATAATCAGTACAGGTTAATAATAATTTCTCAATAAATGCCCCCCTTGATAAAGTGCCTTCCTTCCAATAAGTGCCCCTCCTTTAAGCCAAATATTTATATAAGCAACGAGGTGCTTAATTGAGGAAATAAGGTAATTATTATTTTTATACGGGTTTAGATAAGTGCTTAAGGAAAAAAGATACATACTAAGTGGTGAATAGTTTGATATAAGACCCAATTCTGACATACAGTGGCTAAAGTTTCAGAAAATGTACCTGAAGTCTGTGATGATGTCTCACCTGTAATATACGAGCTGTTGCCATCAATGCGTGTGCCATTTAAAAACCAGGCTACTTCAGAAACTGGTGGCACACCATTAATATTGCATGAAATATTAATCATCTCAAAATAACTAAAATTCATGGTTCTATCTGGAATGTTCCCTTCAGCACAATCTGATCAAAAGAAAGAAATTAAAGACATATTTTATATAATTATTTACATTCCAGGAAAAGCCATTTGATAAATTTCCCTGAGCAGTAGAAGATCAAATTCATGGCCAACTGACAAAAGACAGCCAGTAATCCAGGTTTCCTAACTAAATGACTAGAATCTACTATAAAGAGTACAAATAATGGTACTTTTCTCATTCTCACAACTAGCCAACTATAAAAAAACCAACTGAAGGTAACTTACATTGGACTGTCACTTTGAAAGAATGTTCTGATAAACTGGAATTCTGACACTTGTAGATACCACTCATGTTCCGAGTGATGTTTGTCTTTAAGTACACTTGACCAGTTTGAAGGTGTTGCCCATGGGTACCTGTCCAATTGATGCTGGTATTTAAGCCATTCAGAGGACAACTCAAACTCAAGTTACCAAATTCATTGAATTTAAGATCTAAAAACAAATCAAAAGGTTTAAAATCAAGAAACTGCAAATCAAAACTTAATGCTCCTGTGGTATCAAGGAATTCAAAATAACTGTTTAGTTTATTGAAGTTGGTAAAATGTTACAAGGAAGGTTAATATTTCTTATTAAGAATCTTAATTATAGCTTTCAGCTTGATGAACAGACTACAGACTGTTTTAACCATCTCACTCCTATGAGTGGACAGAATTTCTCCTCACAATATCAATACAACATCAAGCAGACAAGTAATGAGAATAAGGAAAATTAACAATTAGGGAAGGTTTTAGTTGATCCAATACCAAATTATCCGGCATAGGGTAAAATATGGACTGGACTGGACTATTTTTTGGACCATTTTTAGGACCATTTTTTGGACCCTTTTTTGGACCATTTTGTAACAGGGAAGCACACCATTAGTACTCAGAGAGGGGTGGGTGCAGTCTATAAGTACTGAGGGAGGGGTGGGAGGCAGAGTGTTATTACCCAGGGAGGATGAGAGGTGGTTGTAATTGTAAACACTACTGGTTGATGGAGCTTTTACTTGATCGTGCAAATTATTATGATCGGTTTTTCGACTGACTTTTTGTACATCAAAATTTTTGTGCTGGGCCATGGCATTTCTTTAATTTATTTGTCATGCCAAAGCAAAACAGCCACATAAACAATGGACTTTAATTTTGATTGAAAATATCAAGTTTACGATTCTCCACTACTGAGTTGACAGTCTGGCATAGGTTATGCGTGTACCTTTTGAGGCAACTTGTGCACTATCAGTCTCGCTTTGCATATACAGTATGTAATTACCAGATTTATCTATCTTCCTTTGTCACTGATGTTATCAGACAAGATCACAGAATTTCCAGTCCTTAGCCCTTGACTTAGCCCCATATAGAATTCACAAGCGCTATGGCAATTTTAACGTTTAAACATTTACTATATAAGATCATTGTTGGTACAGTCGTACAAAGCAACCTTCTCTCTGGTGTCTCAAAAACACAGACCTTGAAAATGCAGACCACAGAGTGCAGACCGTAGACCTTGAAAATGCAGACCTCAAGAATGCAGACCTCAAGAATGCAGACCTTGAAAATGAAAACCTCGAAAAATTCGTTTTCCAGCGACATTTCAAAGAGAACATTGGTTCATGCACAGACATCCAATGTTGAGCGTGGGACAAACCATATATGGCTACCAAAATAGACATTCTCTGGTTTCAAGTCGCGGTGTACCACGTTCCTCGGCGATATCAATCACTGCCTTGAGAAAAAGCGGCAAAAAATGTTGAAAGGCTTCGCCTGCTTGTGTTCTATCAAGGCAAAGCAATAATTTGAGGAGATCTAAACCTGAACATCAAGACTGAATGGCAGGAAATCAAAACACTCGTATTCCATAATTATAGCAACCAGTTTAAGACCGATTAAAATAAATTTGTACAATCAAGTTAAAGCTCCATTAACCAGTAGTGTTTACAATTACAACCACCTCCTGCCCCCTCCCTGCGTAATAACAGTCTGTCTCCCACCCCTCCCTCAGTACTTATAGACTGCACCCACCCCTCCCTGGGTACTAATGGTGTGTTTCCCCCCTAATAAAATGGTCCAAAAATGGTCCAAAAAAATGGTCCAAAAGATACTCCAGTCCAGTCCAGTCTACATCTTACCCTATATGCCAAATTCTCCAAACCAACATCATAAAAAATGTATGATAGACAGTAAGGAGAATTTCTTATCAGATCTTGGGAGTTAAAGGGTTAACACAAACTGTTTTCATTCAGGACAAGACAGCAGGCAGACTGACCTGCTGTCAGAGCACATCTGACAAAGGACTAACACTCAAAAAATCAACTTTAGGAAGTCTTTACAGTGGCCAATTACATTATTGACTCATTTGATAAAAACAAATCACATTGTAATTTATCTATTAATTATGTATAAATCATGATCTACAGAAATGATTACCAAAGCATGTTAGTTTTTGCCCTAAAACATTGGAAAATGTATCTCTAATTGTATCTCCATTGAACCCATAGCCTGCCTAGTGAGGGAGGGTTGGAGGAAGGAAGGGAGGGAGGGGGTGTGGGGCTAGGTTTTGATCTCAATGCTACAGTGTAGATATATTTAGGTGACTGGGCTCTGTTACATCAAAGCTCCTTTAATTTGAAGCTCCCATAATATAAACAGGATATGAATTTTACAATAAGTTGAAAAAGTTATAACTTCCACTATCCTAAAAAAGCATGCAAATTTGTCTGCAGTCATCATCTGTGCCATGAAAAAAGCAATTTACAAACAAGAAATGTGCAAAATTCACACATAATCTATTCTTTTCAAGCACCACACAATTTCATTTATTCGAGGGTGAGTTAACATGTTGCCAAGTGGAACAATGGAATGCCACCTGCTTAACAAATTGAGTAGATCCTACAACTGAAGAAAGAACAAAGCAGGTGGGCATTGAAACACTGATATCATAATTTCAGATAAGAATAATTCAGCACTAAGTATAATTGTACTGTAATCCAGAAGTACATTTTTTACAACTACATCAATTCCATGGCATGACTTATCAACAAAAAGCCTCTCAAGACAAAGATAAAAACAAAAGAATATAAAACACCGCAGATTGATCCATTTCTTAGTAAACCACAGAATCATAGAATATTTATCATGCAGATTTGAGGGAAAGTAAAGGCATTGCAAGGTGGTTTTGGTAAAGTTCTCATAATCTTCTAGAGTAGTATGGCAAAAAAATCTCCTGATTTACTTCGCGACTTGAAAAAGGGATTTAGCTCTCGTCCGGACTGACAAAAGTTGAAAATGATTCTACATCATTGATGAACAGTTTTACATATTTCGTGTAGCAACACGAAACGTTCTTATGAGACATATTGTGTCCCTGTTCTCATGTTAAATAAAACGTACATGAAGGGGGAAAAACAAAAAGATAGATTGAAACATTAACATGATCAACTGGGGTCAAGATATCAAATAAACAATTTACTTGACTGACTCTTGACTTATCACGGAAACTCGCAGCTTACTTGAACAAAACTGATCATTCAGAGTCAACCACGGTGGCGGAAACGTGAAAGAAAGTAAACAATTTCATTTAAAAGGGTTCTAAATATCTTACCTTCGGGATCTGCGTTAAGACTACCCACAAACAGCCACAACAACATAAAAAGATTTACTAAGTTCACTGGTATAAACTTGACAGGTTGCTTCGCGCTGAAGCCATCCAGTCGTTTCACGCGAGTTGAAGCCACAACTAGTCCAGACATCGCTCTTTCTTCAAAGATTTTATCAAAATGATATCACACAGACCATATCGATGAACTACTTAAAGAAGCAGGGAAAACTGATCAAACTGTGCCGCATTCTTTGGAGCTTCACTTCAGCAGCCTCCTTCACTTCCTCTACCGCCTGCCGCCATCTTCTTAAAGTCACGTGACACAATAATGTCAAGTGACTGAATGAGTAATTCTGTTGTGACGGGCTTTTTGTCTAAATTGTAAGCAAATTTGTTTGATTCGGCAAAGTTCAAAACTAGTTATCCCCATTCGAATTAAGAGAAAATTCTCCACTTTCAATTCTGTTGCACGAGGAGATAAGGGATGTAAAATGCCATTTACTAGGTTTATGACGTTAAAATAGTACTTCTCAGAGATATTTCCCAGCCTTACTTGGATAGAATGTTTCATTATGACATTGTACCACCCAAATAGTCATCAACTTATCTTTGGTCTAAAGATTGCAGTGTCCAGTCCTTTCTTTTCTCATTACCATTTACACTGACCCTCAAATCAGATTTTTTTTTTCCTCCACTGCACCCAGACAAAAAAGTTTTATCAAATTTTGCACACCGCCAGCAACATATGGAGGGGTGGAGAAGTTTTTCAGAACAAAGAAACCTACACTGAGTTCATCCTTTAAGAAATTAAACGCATCGTTTTTGGGTAACTTTCAGTCTGTTGCAAGCTTTTCATTCACAAAAAAAGATGCTTGAGCAGTTTATTTGATGTTTCAAGAAAATATTGTTGCTGCTCATTTCTTCTGTTTCTCTTTGCCAATTTTTTTGTTTTGTTAAATGTTCAAATCTTTTATTCTTAAAGATTTCTCCCAAACTCACTAGCACCCCCTAAAAGGAATTGTACCCCTCCGTAGCAATTCTGCTGGACAGCTTTTTAGTTGAAAATAAATGACAAGAAAGAATTCGGAATTACATGTACAAAGTTTATGCTTGCTTTACATCAACTAAAAACATGTAACTGCAAACAACTTTTTCAATTCGCTTTTTAAACTTAATTAATATTCACACACAAAAGTCATAGACTCCCTCAAAAAATTGATTTATATAAAAATCTGTAATATCAGATTTAATAAAATCAAGAAGAACAAATCGAAATACATTAGAGGAAGAACTAAGGGCTGTGAAATTGAATAGACCAAAGTATTTGTTGGCTTCAGCGAGAACAACGAAATACATGCTAATTATAAAACAGGAAATTTTAAGTTCACCCATGCAGAAACGGGTACTTCGTGTGGGAAAAATGTTAAAAAACCAGATATTTAATTTTAAAAAATATGCGATGAACTACCTAGAAGCGAATTACACAGATGCAAAGAGACTAAGAAAATAAGACATGCACAGATTTCACTTTTTAACATGTTAAGCAATATAATTTACGCACAAATAGCTACAAAAATATACTCAATTTTATGATTTCTCTTTTCGTAGCTGTCTGATAGAAAGTATATTTCTTCTATGTTTCTTCACAAAAAAGTGCATTCTCAAGTCTTCTTATAATGATAACAATGACTTAATAGTTCACCAAAAATTCCAGAGCGATGAATTCAAGGATTGTCCTCAATTCGCTGATAACCGGACGATCCGGGCCGAAGGCCGTACTTCTTTCTGATTTCATCTCTCTTGACTTCCCTCTCGCTTCGTTTCTGAGCATGAAGGGCCGTCATTTCTTCTCTTTTGCGCTTCAATTTTGCGTCCTCTTTATCCATTCGCTTTTTCCTGCATTTGTTGCACTGGCGACAACAACAACAGTAGATACAACATCCGAGAAACAACAAGAAGACGGCGACCAACGAAGGGACTAAAATGATAAGGACTTGTCCTGATACTCGACACTGGCCATAAAACCACTCCCTGCTTGGGCAATCTCGAGGAACAATTTTCGTCCATCCAGGATAGTTGGTACATGCCTCTGTTGAAGAACACCAGTAACATTGCGAATGCCCAGTGCAATCGCTACAAGATTTGTTGAAACTCGTGCAATCTTCCGCGACTGCCGAATGTGGTAAGGTGAAACAAACAACAAACGCAATCGCCCACATTGAAATGAACACGCACTTGTCTATCTTCATGGTCAAGGTTGAAGCTTTCTCACGACAATCTTCTATTCTTTTCTATCTATCGTCTCTACTCCACTCTGTCCAATACGACTCGTTATACTCGATGAATTACGGTGATTTTTCAACTCCAAACGTAAGATATTATCCCCGTCACTCGACTAATGTTTACTTAGTCCCTGAGAAATCTACGAGATTCGTTGCTGCAAAAGCCTTTTTAAGCTGTAGCTCGGTAAAGACTATCGTCGATCCCTTTAACAACTTCTCTCTCCAGAGAAATGTGCTGTATTGGTCCCAGAGTCGTAGAAATTCTGAACGAGAGGAATTTATCACGGCGCCTAGCGACAGATATCAAAAGTGCAACTGAAAGCACGCACCACCTACGTCACAAATTCAATTAAAAACATATAATTTATTGCCAGCGGTAGGGAGAAACATAAAGGCAATTATCAAACAAAACTTGCTGAAAGGTAGTGATTTTCACCTTTCTACCTTTCTTATAAAAATTAATTTTTACTTTATGATTTGGTAGAATAATAGAAATTGTGAAAAGAAGCTGAACAACAGCAAAATCAAAATATGCCCTACCCTCTCCACCCAAGTAGTTCTTAAACGCTTGAGTTGTTGAAGGAACGTGAAATACCAGCAGGCTGTAAGTTAATTGAAGTGAATTTCAATTAAATGAAAAGAGAAAAAAAGGTCGCTTTTCTCGAGAAAATTTGCAATTCAAATGAAGATGTTTGTCATCCCTTGGATCCTGGACCACACGGTTATTTTTCTCATAAATTTTGGCGGTTTGTTTTTATTTGCTTCATTTCTCTTTTTGTCTTGTTTACTTCCGGTGCTTGTTCCTTTTTTTTCTCTTTCTTCTTCTTTATTTGTTTTGCTTCTTTTTTTTTTAATATCACAATGAAAGAGGATTTTTAGAGGGACTGTTTACAATGTAAAATAAAGAAGACAGAATACCACAATCCATCTTTCATTCTTTTCGGCAAACTTAAAAACAAAACACAATGTACCCTAGTCTAAAGTAGTGTGGCTGAGAATATTGACAGCGAACAGAGTTAATTTCGACGTTTGAATCAAATGCAGTTTTAAACTATTTTAGTTGACTAAAATAGGAGTTAATTAGTTCGGCACGTGTGAAATTCGACGTTTGAACTGGGCCTAAGGGGTGAAATCTCGTGAGGAGAAGGATTTTAGAATCCTTGAGGTCATATGCTTTTATCGCTGATCAAAATTCAGTGGAGGGAGATGTATGAAAATTGTATACTGGGGGTAAATGAGGGCTCTTTGGACTCAAAGGAAACCATAATTGTACATTACTGCCTAAGACTTGCTGACAATGCTCTTAATACTCTTCATCTCCAACTATTCCTCAAGAGAAAAAAAACTGTAGATCTGAGGCAAATCTAGAGAGTAGTGTAAGGGATGCAAACCCCCCCCCCCCCCCATAAGATGACCCGCTGCCATCTTATGAAGCTTTGGTTTTCCGGTGTTGAAGCAACAAGTACTAGTGACATCATATTTGCAAGTTGGTCAAAAGACTAGGACCACTTCTTTTTCTTCTTTTAAGTTTATTGTCAAGGTACATTTTACTCAATTCCTGACATAAATATTACCTAATAACAAATGCTGCAAATGGGAAAACTTAAATAATACTTTCACATTGTAAAATCATATAACTCTGGGACTATTGTTAAACTGGTGACCATGCATAAACTCATCTTAATTACATATTGTATATAAATATATATATATATATAAATATACGTTGAGCCGAAAAGAAAACTCTATGATGTTTGCTGCTGAGGGTTAAATTTCATACTTTGAACAATTTACATTTCATGGTAACTCTAAGGGTAAGGCATGCAACATATACACATAAAAATGAAAGGCTGACATAATAGCTAAATCAAGACATTCTAGTACGCCAATCAGAAGTGCAAATTTCATTGAAAAAGAAGAGCTGACTTTACAAATCTGCCCTCAAAAAACAAAAATGCCTTCTTTTGAAGTTATAACTTAAAGATCAGTAACTGCCTGCAGTAGACATTAACCACCTTCCATTTCCTTGGAGGAACCTTATCTTGCAAACTGACTTCTTCTTAGAGTAATTTTTTAAGGAGTTCTCTTTCCTAATAAGTTCTACCCAGTCCAACAGTAACATTTATTTTTTTTACAACCTAAAACATACCAAAACCCACAGGCTAACATTTATTCTTAAATACAATGATCACTAAAAAAATTGAAATTTTGCTTCAATAACAAATTCAATTCATGCAAAACCTGTTTGCCGACATTTTAGGAATCAACCTAAAACAGAAAAGAAACCAATTTGTGAAATTGCAGCAATCATTAAAGGCAGCTAAAATAATGTTTGAACATCAGATGAAATTTTATAGAAAGTAAGATCTCCAAGGAGGAAAGGGACACACTTAGCCACAAATAATATGTCGACAATGAATAAATAAATAAATAAATAAAACACGTCAATAAATTCAGAAGTACTAATGACTATAAGTGACTCTGGCAAATGACTCTGACTCTATAAGTGACTGACAAATGGCAATAAAGCAACTTGTCTCACAACAGTGGAACAAAATTGTAAGACAAGAGGCAATAAATATTCCCTTCTGCAACAAGTCCTTCTTGTTTAACCCTCTGACTCCCAGAAAAGATTAACATATAATTTCTCTGCATGATACAGGTAAACAGGTAATAAGATTACTCAAATGTATCAGGTAGAAGTTATCTTGATCTCACACCAAATTCTCTTTACTTATTTACAAGGAAATGTGTGCAATTAGAGGTGAGAATTAAAAGTCAGATCTTGGAAGGTAAAGGGTTAAATCCATTCCTCTGTTCTTTCTAAAAGTAAACTCTCTCAGGACGAACACCTCAAATTATTTCATAATAATTCATCAGTTATTCCTTGGTGATAAATATATGATACCCTTATCTAGTCACAGCACTTGCAACTGAATAATACATTATTATACACACGATTAAGACTAAAGATTAGAGTCATTAAATGACTGCATGAATGTGATTGAAAAAAAAAAAACCAAACTGATCACTGCAAATTATGTACTTTTATGCAACTTAAAAAATTGATATACACACAGCCCCTTGCATATTAACAAAGTACCACTAAAAGTAATTTAATTATATGCTGAAAAAGGAAAAGAGCAAAAATGAAAAGCTCTGCCCTGCTCCATCTAAAGCAAGACAGAAAATTAAACAGCTACTAGAAGTACCTTGACATATAAATATGATTAATTTCACCCTTTCCTTACTGCAACATGCATACCCTCTGTCTTTCATGTCCCTCACTTGAAGACAGCAAAACTTTGTTTCCTATCTGCAAGTGCATGGTCACTGGACTATATGAAGTCTATTGCTACATGCCTAAATTGCCAAGAGATTATAACGAAGCAGTCCTAAAGTTTCCAGTTCTTAAGTTACAAACACCATTATGATCAGATCTTGAAACTTAAGCCACTGGCCTTGTTACTTCAATTCTCTGATGAATTTGAGGCACTCACCATGTCTGACACCTTGTATAGAAATTACAGAGTAACTTGCCTTGAAGGCTTAATGAAAAACGCATCTGTCTAGCCTTGATCTGCATGTTACATTGCATTTTGTCTTGTGAGCAGCCTGCCATGTATACAGCTGATGAAGTTTCTTGTGCAATAATCAGTTCATAATAACAATGAAAGAGAGAAGCTAGGTATCTCCTTCTCACTACATCTATGACTGTGCCACACTCTTCTGAACTACAGACCCTGAAAACAGCTGCCACCTAGTGGAACATGTTTGCTCTGAGAGGTAAACTCTTGTTCAGTACAAACATTCACAGTTTCCATAGATGGTCCTGATGACACAACAATTGTACATCCTGTATTCAGTTCTTTTTAGATCCATATAATTGTTCATGTTTCCATATTTGCCACACTAGCATCTCCTTGAACTACACCACAATTCTGATGTTAAGCTGATGAGAGATGTTTTCACTTATCAGTTGAAATATTCCATAACTCAGCCATGACCACAGCTGGGTGAAGCCAGGCCAATCTTTTGACATCTGTGATCTTTTTCATTCTTGATAATCTGTGCTTATAAATAGTCTCATAATCCAATGACTTTGTAGAAAATATGTCTTTTGAACTCGACTTTTGTTTAAATACTATTGACCACTGCGCACCTGTAGCAAGAAATGCGCACTGCACATTCTGGTTTTAAATGAGACTTTGTTGAATTTGGTAAAAAGCTCACCAAAAGTTTCCATTTGAAAAAGATGGACAAATCGTTTAAAGCTGCTGCTGAATTTTGTGGCACTCAAACACCACTCTAAAAAACAAGTCATTTTAAATATCAATATTTGCAGCTGTAGGAAACAATAACAAACTGTTTTTTTTTTTTTTAAATATCCAGGAAATTTCCAACTAACATTTGTAATAATTTTGAGTCTCTTTGTAAGTAAATATGCTGTAAGGCCAGAAGGGGAGCAAAACTTCTCATTCATCATCATCATCATTATCATCATCATACCTAACGAAGTTGATTGGGAACAACTTCTTGCTAATATTTACCTTACAAGCTACCTAATTCACTTTGGAATTTCATTTCACTTAATGATTTAAATAACTGTATGGGACCCTTTACGATTGTTACAATTTTCATATCTGCAATGGGCACCTCCCTCGTGAATATTGTTAGGAACTGCCACAGTTTCACAATCTGGGAGGGTCACAATAGCTGACATGGTGACTGCATTCATTGGTTGTTTATCATTGTGTGGTTTAGAATTCACTTTGTTCTTGCTTTTAACATCATTCATTTCCATGTGATCTGGGAAAAAAGCATTTTCATGTTGATGGGCTGGTTCTGAGAAAGATCTTGTTCTCTTCATGCATTTCCCCGTGTAGCTGTTTCGGTTGTAGCAGGCATTGTCACAAACTGCTGCTAGTGAAACAGATGAGGAAATTGGTGAACCGGATGGAGTACAAATAGGAGTTGACAACTTGGGAGTCTTCCTCACTGGTTCCCCTTTGTATGAGTACTCCATTTCAACAAATTGCCGAGCCTGAAAGACATCAGCCAAACAAAAATGAACACTTTTGATTTTACTATGTGCTGATCAATTAAGAGCTTCAACATTGCTCCACCTCCCAAGGCAATTAACCCACAGGCAAATGACCATCATCTGTGCCAGGGAAGTAGGGTATTCCAACCTTCCCTGGCTGGGGGGTTGAACAGGAAGTATCAAGTCTTTCCAGTGGAATACAAGTGTTCTATCTTTAAATATGGAGGTTTTTCAAGATAAAGACTTCACATTCATAAGCAAATGGCTCAGAAGAAAGGGTCTACATGTAAAAAATCCACGGGAACCATTCACAGTTTATGCAACTGAAGTTCATGCAATAATTTCCTGAATTCACTAGATTGGCAAATAAAAAAAAGACCATGATATTGGACTTTTTACAGTTAAAGCTTTACATGATACTCCTACCACTGTTTTACCATTTGAACCCTAAGAGTAAAACTACCGAGTCATTCATTAAGATCACAAGTCAGAGTAAAGGAAAGATTAAAAACAGGAGAAGCTTTGATTGTTAAACAAATTCTCCTTGTCCGTAACAAAGGAAATATAATTATGGAGAAAAGTTTGGAGAGTATAAATACTGCTGTTGGGGTGTGGAAGGTTGACAGGCTTTAATACATACCGTAGCCTTTTCCAGGCACTGAAGTAGATGAGTATGCTGTTCATCAAGATAGTTTTTCTCTTTATTGCTGACTGGAATTTGCGTGAACTCTAGGCCAGCACCCTAGGAAAAATAAACAGTGAAATAACTAAATTACACAGTTTCCTATGGATAGAGAGATGGTAAAGCTTTGAGAAGAGGCTCAACCAGTTTATAATATCTGTACTCTCATAGAACAGAGCCTCTTAGCTATTTAGAAACCAGAGACCAAATCAAAAAACCCTAACACACTTAAAATAGAAAAAAACATGCAAACTGAAAAGCCAAAGATTTTTTTATGCAATTACCACAAAGCCAATCCACAAACTAGTCAAAACTACAAATCCCAACACAGCTCCGAAAATAATAACTGATTAAATAATTGACCTCCCCACCTCAATTAAATGCCCCAGATAAAGCCAAAGCTACCAAAAAATACCACACCCAACATTAGAAGCCCACACATTTGTTAAGGACATTAGCCAGAAGGCTCATTTTTTGATTGATTATTGATTAGTTCACTAATTTCAGAATGATCCTACATAGCCACATAGTTACAATGCTTATCTGTTTTTCTGTATTTCTATTGGTTTTGTAATCGGACCTTTGAGCATCACCACGCGCATATAAAAGACAAGTTTGGCGTCCCTTTAATCAGTTCTTCGTAAGTTTTGAATAGTCTTGGTAAACTTTCACCCTTTTGTTTTCTCAACCTCTGGCACAAGCTGGAACGATATGTGAGTACCTTTGTAACTTTGTTTTTTCCTTTCCAGTCCTTTCAGTGTTGGGCGACAATATAAAAACAAATATTGCAATAATCACTATGGATTTAAGACTTAAAGGCCAAATTCGTGCCAAATGCAAGTCAGTGAATGCCCATCATTTAGATGAAACAATGGGCTGTTTACCAGCCACCAAAATTCTTTTAAACACAAAGGTGCGCTATATAAGGAAGTCTTCCCTGGGAAGACCTAGGCTGATTTGTCACTCACCGTTGATGTGTGCGGGTCAAATTTAAATGCTGGTAGACGAACAAAAGGAGCTAATGAGATATCTACTGTTTACTTCCACCAGCATAGTGGCATGAGGTAACATGCGAACCACCAACTTCAATCTCAAATTTACCACCACAAATAAAGACAGTTTCCATCAGAAAAAGGAAATACAAACCTGAAAAATTCTTGTCTTGTGATGAAGACATAAAACAATTTTGAGGAATGCGCCTGCTGTTCACTGCTTTGGAGTAGCTGTAGCTCAAGCTGACTTGACTCTACGAGTTCTACATCACATGACGTTTGATTGACAAATGGTCCAGTGGGACCTTAGGCTCCTTTTATAGCGTGCCTTCGTGTTTAATTTGATTCGAAACTTTTGTTCTGTTTTACTTGTAGTGTTAATCTCGTTATAGACATTAGAGCCCAGTATTTGACATGCAATTCTTTGATTATGTATTCTGCGGCTTTTCATTAGATTGATAGAACTTCATTGTATTGTTGTTTCAGTTTATGATCAATTGTTTGATAGATTGATTGACTGTGAAAATAATCGTTATTTTCGTCGCCACCACTGCCACCATGTAAGACGCAGAGGTTGAGGCTTTGAAAACAGCTTTTATTTGGCAATCAAAACCACAGCTAGCAGCACATGCTTAGCAAAACAAAAGACCTGATGTCTCGTGCGTGCAAAGTTTATATACCTGAACGGTGTCCGCTGTCAGCACGTGGCTGCATGGCGTGACATTACCTTATGTAACCCGATTCGATAATCATGTCTTACAAACAAAACTCTAAGCACAAATTGTCACAGTTCGTGGTCTTTCAAGAATAAAGATTCGTGCAAACAGTCAACTTTGGTTTGTCGTTTTGATCAGTAAAATAGTCCCAAACACCTCGTTAACCGTGTTGTGGAGCAACACACCCTTGAACTTGAGAATTTAGATTTTGGTCACCACAAATGCTACAACATTTATTTGAGGAATATACGGAAAAGTGTTAGAAATGACAATCACATGTATGTTTTAACTCAGTAATTTTATAGAAAGCAAAACAATAAAACTTAAAATAAAGCACATTTCTATTTTGTTTCAAATTTGCTATTGATTTAAGGTGGTACCGGAGGCTAACTCCTCAACCTTATCCGAATACTTTTATTTCCTCCCATCTAAAAGATTATTGTTTTAGTAGCCTATTTGCAAAATTCGACAATTGGAAAACCTGCCATTTTCGAAATATGTGCGATAAAAGTTTCACTTTGAAGGGCGAATCTCACTGCAAAATAGAGATAAATCCTGGTCTACTGGTATTTGAGGTTCACACGGATTTCTTTCAGATGACACTTCAGACACATCTGTTTCATAATGAGTATACCCATTCAGTAACGAAATATGGAACACTTTTTTATCATCCAGATAGAACTCTGGAAAGGGCCAACCACTTATATTTTCCAAGCAATGGAAACACAAATATGTTTTCATTGGCATCTTTGCTCTAAAAATTTATGATGATATTTTCTAATTCTCAAGGCACATCACAACCATTATAAGCAAGTGAATAACCAAATATTTTATTTTGTCAAACCACAATTAATAGATTGATAGTTGTGACTTTCAAATGCCTCCATTATGTCATATTTTTATGGTTCCTGATAACACGCTTTCCTTCTTTTCTCTTCCCAGCCTAGTGGCATCAATTTCTTTAACTAAAGGAATGCCTAAAACATTCACTGCAACCTCTACTTTCCTGTTGTTTTTCCTAATGTTGTAGCATTAAATGAAGAACATGAGTAACTTAAAATAGACAACTCTTCTGAAGATAACATTTAAAGAGGGTCATCTCATAGAAATAATTTCTTAAAACAAAAAAAAAATTATAATTATATCGATAGAGTTCAATCAGCCAAAATTAATTGTTCAAATGGTTAACTTACCAGTGGTACATTTTCTTTGTCAGGAGGGGAGACCAAAGCTGTACCCGCCATTGTCTTGGAAATGGACACACGTGCTTTCTGAAAGAAAAGAAATTGGAACTGGTTGGATTACTCATGTAACAGAAGAGAATTGGCATCTGAATATATACTTAATAAACAACAATATACAACTGTTTTTACTGACTAGTCCAGTAACAAACCCTTGGCACAGTTTAACCCTTTCACTTTTAAAATCTCATTGGTAATTCTCTTTACTGTCTACCATACAATTCTTGTAATGTTTGAATGGAGAATTTGGCATTAGATCAACTCCTAATTGACACCCTTCTTTATCATCATTACTAGTCTGCTTAATACTGTACACAGCTCTGCATTGTAAGTTTCTCTATAAAAAAGCATAACAAATCTATTTGTTACCTTATGAGCTTTACGCTTATCTGCTCTTTGGTTTTGCAAATAAATCCTACTAAAATTAGACACAATGACTGGAACAGGCAGGGCAATCACAAGAACACCACTGAGTGAACACAGGCTACCCACAATCTTCCCAGAGGTAGTTTGCGGTACCATGTCACCATAACTGGAAACAGAAAATAATGTTAAAAATTTATGATCAAAGGAGAATAAACAAACATCCTCCCATGTTTAAATCTCTTCTTACTTGATTTTCTTACCCCCAAAATCTCAAAAATGTATGATCCCATTCCAGTAACTCAATTGAAAATGCAACCTCAATATAGTCAATTCAGTCACTTAAATGCAGCACATTCCCCTTAGCCTATTAACAGGAATTAGCATGCGTTTAAAAGAAAACAACATTGCTGTGTACCTTAATTAAATATGTGCTGCTAAATCAAATTTCATGGAAAAAAACATGAATGATGCATCTTTGATTCCAAAACAATTCCTTTTGCCTTTCATATCCTTGCTATCTTATTTAATTAGGAGAAATAGTTTAACTTTAACTTTGTTCTGATGTGAATTGCCTCTGTACCTCTGTGCTACAGAGTGAGCATTTCCTCTTGAACTGGTTCTTTTAACTGTTATGCTGTCTTGTTACCCAAGTCAGTGGGTAAAATTTAAGTAGGACACAAAATTACTTTGGTCCCCTGGTCTAGTTTGGCACACACAATGACAGGATTAAACAACTTTTTCTTGGTCCATCTAACCATTCTTCTTTTGATGAATCTCAGCACTACCTTTATTTTAAAGTCTGTGACTCATAGAGATATGGCTTCAACAAGAAATACTTCATCCATTGCAATTATTAAAGCCTGCTTAAGAAGTGCAGGTAGCAACCAAAATGGAAAAAGATCCATTCTTGCATAGTAATTAGCACAGTATTTTTTCTTTATCTTTTAAGAGCGAGATGGGTTTGTGATTTATGTATGTGGCAATCAGTAAAGTTTTGATCAAAGGATATTAGTTTGATGTCACTGCCATTAGAAGTTGGAGAATGCTACATTTGAATTCACTCTAGTTAGACCTGACCCTTTGTGCCAACAGAGCATTGAACATGAATTTAATTTGGAGAATTCTAAGGGTTTGTACAAAAACTTATCACTTTTCATATTTGCCAAACAGCCATTATTGGCAATCCCCACGATAATACTAGACTTTTGAGATATGCAACGACAAAAACAATTTGTAGTTAATCAAAGGGCATTAAGTTATAATCATAATTGCAAAAAATTGGTCCATAAACAGCCCATGAAAAGGAAGCATTATGATAAGTGAAAATTAAAGCTTTCTTTACTAACTGAGAATTTAATTTAAGTATGACATTTCCTAGACAGTGTCCTTTTGTTAGATCCTCCCTAACTGAAAAAGCAAAACAAAAAAAAAGAAAGGCATAACAAATGGATTTATGGAGCAATTTAAATTATATAATGTCGCTTTCATTCATTACAACCAAAGTGAGTCTATTAATGACACAGTGTTATTGAATTATCTCAAAGATAGAAAAACCTCTTCATTTCCAAATATTGACATTTCTCCACTTTTGAGATTAACATGCTCTCAGAACTGATTTAGGTTAACATAATCAGATAAAGCCAAATTAGTGAAATTTACCCTATAATGTCATAATAACTGATAAGACATAACCTGACATCACAAAATCTAATTTACTCCCACATGCAGTTAGTAATTGTGCAGCAAATGATGAAAACAAATAGCAACAGAGTCCCAAATCAATCTTTGTAAAACCCTTATTTGGACACAAACAGCAAGCAAATAGAAGGAAAATATAGCATCTGACTAATAAATATTGTTCAGTATCTTCAAAAGAGAGGTGGTTGAATTTATTAGGCCAGTAGCTAGACCTAAACTCACAAATCCTTTTGACAACTGAAAATTGTTTTCAAAATTAGCTAAACAATCTTTTTCAGTATGCATTGAACAAGCAGGAACTGATATAACATGAACAAAATTCTTAATAAATAAATTGATTGGTAAATGGGTTGAATTTACATAAATATAATTACTTTACGGGCTATTTAACATATGTGGTTGCTGGTTCAAAAAAGAAAACAATAAAACAGATGTTTTCTGAAGTAAAATTATTACAAACAACATGAGTGAAACAGTTGTGAATGAACGAAGATATTGCTTCTTTCAATATTTATAATCACCTTTAAAACAAAAAGAAATGAGAAAATGTCTTGCTCTTTCCATAATAAAGAAATATTCACAGCCAATAAAATATTCATAAAGGTGAACTGTCCAGCCCTGCATTCTAAATGAGATAAAAAACATTAACAGACTCAAGGACTGTATGGATCAGTGAAGTTTCAAAATGAAAAATTGCGACAAGTCACAAATGCAAAGCTATGATCTAATGATACGCAGGGTGAACAAAAGAAACTAGATAATTTAACTACATTTCTGTTGTCTAATGGTGACTTAAAAACCATTAATTACACAAAATTCCCGTATAGTTTTCAAGGAAACACTCACAAGCTCCATTGACTCCTATTTCATGCAAGAATGATCTCATAACAGCCAATGCTTCCTTTTTATTTTCATGTTAACAAATGAACGAAACTGGTCAGAAAATTCTTTCTAGAGTTACTCTAATCTCATAGTTGTTATTAGAAAAGGAAATACACCATGTTTATATTTGCTTTGTTTTATATCTATCCAACAGAAAAACCTGAAAAATTTTTTTCTGAACTGTGCATTTTTATTAGAGTGTAAACAATTTCCACCAGCTGTTGAATTCTTCCAAGTAAATTCTCCTCTATTCCTCATTAATTTACCACATCCAGGGAGCCTGAATCTTCTGATTCTCACACCCTTTGTGTCACAAGTATTTCATACATATACTTTGCAACAGAGGAAGACATAACCCAGTTATTTTTACACGGGGGGTTAAGACTGGCGTTCAAAATAATACGAAACCAGGAAAGAGCTATTACATGAGAAACAGCTATTACATGATCCCAAAGTCTGGCCGTTTTATAAGCGAACGGCTTCGTCGTTCCACAAAACACAAAAAAATTAACTTTATGTATGGCCACTTCTAACAACTAAGTTATTTCAGGAAGATAAACAGACCTTCCTAATGATCGCGCAACATTGTGAATCAACAGGAACATAAGTAAAATTTTAGAATATCCTTACGGCCGATTCTCAGGTTGTTAAAATTCAATTCCAGATTTATAACGCAGACGTCTCCAGCAAAAACATTGATGTAAGCCTAATTCATTTAAGAATTATCGCAACCTTATCACGCTGAAGACCACAAATACACCGAGTGATGTTGGCTCAAGTTTCTCTTTACCAGAAAAACGGAAACTGTGTAGTTACCCGAAATCGTCCACTTGAGAATTAAGTGTAAACATACACCTACAGCAGACATAGCAATATAGTTGTTGTAAATGTATCCAGCTCAATTCATATCAGAATAACGTAAAATCTTCTATTATTAAATTTTTAACGACAGGAATTTTCTTCCTCTCGCCGCAGAAGTAAGAACTGATGAGAAAAATGGCTTGAAGCGTAGCTCATGGCACAGAACAGCAGATTCTTGGTTTGGGATCGCACAGACATCAATAAGAAATGGCAAAAAGCAGAAGGAATGAAATATACACATACGCGAATAACAATTAATGTTTTCTACGGTTAATTCAACATTCGTTCGTACCCAATGCTAGGATGTAAACAAAAGTTTAACTAGAAGCAGAATCAAGCGGAGATCTCTGTTGGCCTGTGATAAATATGCACGTTCAGTTATCCGACGACGGCGTACTCTGTGTCGCACAAAACTGTCAGATACTTGATAACTGCATTCTGATTAAACTTCCCGATTACGTCCCATGGAAAAAATAAAACCGAAAACAAAAAGCATCTTCGATCAATCATGGTAGCTGTAAATTCTCAGAGTAATTTGAAAGTTCTCTCACAGAAGAGATTTCTCCAAGGATAAGGCAATAAAATGTTCTGAACAAACTTTTATAGATGTTCTTGGATTATCTATGATAACATAGCAGTAGAAATAGAATATTGAACTTACCCTAGTGTCGTCATTGTAACAATCGTGTACCAAAAACTCGCAGGAATACTCGTGAACTTGGTTTCCTTGACATTTTTTTCTACATAGTACATAACAGTCGCGAAAATTATCACTGCCATCGACAACGAAAACAACAGGAAGCCCAGCTCGGACGCGCAACTCTTCAGTGTATACCCCAAGATGCGGAGTCCTCTCGAATGCCTTGAAAATTTGAATATTCTGAAGATCCTAAATACTCTCAGGGTCACAAATGCTCCACTTATAGAATTATTTGGCATAAACAGTCCAACATAGAAAGGTAATATAGCTACCACATCTATTATGCTCATTAGATCTCGAGCGAACTTAAATCGGTTAGGAGCTGCATACAAGCGCGCCATATACTCAACAGTAAACACTATAACACAAGCTGTTTCCATCGAGAAAAAAACATTTTCATTCGCCTGCCCGAAAGTTTTGTTACCGTCTGTTGGAAGAGTTTCTACCACAGTGCTGATCACACTAACTGCAATAAAGAAACCTGTGATGTAGTATGCCAAAGTGGCTAGCCGCGAGCTTTGCGGATTTTGAAAAGCGGTCCACATCTTCTCGCGAATCGTAGAATCAGTGTTTTCTTCCCCATTTTGTGAACCATCTTCCAGTTTATCAGGTTCGAAAATTCTTTCTTCACACTCTTTCTTTCTTTCACGAAAATCCTCCCAACAACAATCGTGTACTACATCTTCAGAAATGCCGAAGAAACAAAGTTCGTCTTCAAAGGAAGAAACGCATTCTCCCCGCGGGTAGTGCAGCTTTCCGTTGCGATAATAATTCAAGACATGGCGGAACAAGTCCGGATCTCGATCAAAGAAGTATTCTTTTGTTTCCGAATCGAAAAAATAGTCCTTTTCGTCACTTCCAAGCAGAGTTTCCGGGAATCGCGCCAACGTATTTTGCCATGTTTCGAACCGCCTCCCACTAACATTGATGATGACTCGTTCGTCGTTTTTTGGCGATTCTGGCGGCGGTGGCATCGTAGACGATGCTAAAGGAGCCAAACCGACAGCGGCCGCCCTCGCGAATGGCAGCCATGCTCCTAAATCGGTGGCCATGATTGATTGCGACGGCCTTACATCGAAGGAAGTGATCCAAGCTCACTTGTGAGTCGCGCATCTACTCTGAGCTTAAGAGACAGGTGTATAATGTTGTCGCTCTGCTGACAAACAACCACTTTAATTTATGCCAGCGCATCCACGGATTGATTGAGACATCGATATATTTTGCACCATTTGTTCGAACGCTACCTTGATTATTCACCTGGGACGCGTCTGGCTTCAGGTTGTCAGATGAATGGTAATTTCGATCAAACGTTCGATTTCTCGGGTCCTTCGAAATGTAGAAACAAATCGCCTTTAAAATCAATCAAATGTTGCAGCGCACCGGGCTCAAATTGCGGTAGAGTATTGAGAACCAAGAACCATGAAATTAGTCTTAATCCTCAGCTTTTGTTCAGAAGAGAAGTACATAGAGCATTAAATTGAACCAGCTTTATCAATCGAGGCCTTTGTTAATTGCCTTACATCTGTCGCCAGAAAACAAAGCGAACTACGCAAGAAAGCACAATTTTTCATCACATACGGATTGATGTGATACCAAATTCCTCTTATATGTTTTTGATAAGAGATACCTAATTGCAAAGGATATTGTTAATTAGCATTGGATTAAACAAATTTGAAGTCAGTAGCCAATGAATTTCGAGAAAGATGACTGTTTGATTGATAGTTTATCAAACACCAACAGGGCATTTATTGTTCGCCTGTCAAGCGTTCGCGCCAAATTTGCAAACGGTGCAAGCAAAAATTTTGTATTTTAAAATTTTTTTCCTCGTTACGGTAATCAAATGCTGGGAAAAAAACATCTTTTTCCGTGATAAAAGAATCGAAGTTTTAGGAAACCTCTGGAAGGGCTTCCGAAAAAAAAACAGGGACGAGATTCCGCTTTTGTAACTTTATTTCGATTCGTTTTCGCTTTCGAAGATGCCGTCCTAGTTTTCTGTACTTATAAATAATGGAAAAACCTACAAACCCAACTATGTCGTAAATGAATTTTAAAATAAAGGAAGCATTACATGAACAGCTTTTATTGTTTAGTCGTCTCCTTTTCAGGATAATGTTGAAACAGCTCAGAATTGCATTTTATCATCAACCCCTAGAGGAAGCCAGTGGAAACATTATTTAGCGACCCATTGTTAAAAAATATTTCCTTTTCAAGACACACTTGGATTTTGTAGAATAATACTCAGCGCAATGGTTTCAATTTTTGCGATGCAAGTAAACAATATACTGGACTTTCCAGCAGTTAAGATACCCAACGTTATCTACGACGGTAATTGTCTACAACGACTTCAAAGTAATTTGGTTCCATTACTGACAATGTTTAGTTACCCAGCAAACTAACATTAGCAGCTTGTTCACCTCTGCTGGTTTATGGCCCGTGATAAATTTGCTTTGCAAACAGCAACAAGAATTAGAGCCACGTACATTAACTTCTTCATCTTTTGAAATTACTGATATTGCGCATTTATTGGCGCATAAAAAGTTTCATCTTTTAATTTTCGCGTAAAATGAAAAATATAATTCAAAAGGTTCTGGAGTGACTAGCATGTCTATGTATTTCTAAGTGCCCCACCGTTCTGGGTGACATTTTCGCGTAAAACGAAAAATTATCATTCGAAAGGTTCTGGAGCGACTTGCATGTCTATGTATTTCTAAGTGCCCCGCCGTTCTGGGTGGCATTTTCAAGGTACAAGTCAATTTGCAAATTTTAAAAGAAAAGTAAATCCACTCGCAAAAAGTTTTTATGGCCATCCTTGTGGAAGCTGCTCTCTCCCATACGACTAAGACATCTGCATGGGTGTTTTACAATAGACTAGGTTAATTTCTTGTTCTTACGGTCAATGTACAGAAAGGAAAGAAAACAGAAAAAAGCCTTGGCTCATAAAAAGTAATCATTGCGGATCTTTTTACACGTAGATCTGTTCCTGAATTCGTTTAGTGTCAGAGACGCTGGTACAAAAAGCTCAAGTACCGACCGGAAGTGAAATGTTCACACCTGCTCCCATAAACTTTTAGATGTATTTAGCATAAGAATCTTTAAACAAAACGAAAGGTATTAATCGGTTTTACAAATATGCCACAACAAAGACTTCTGTGGCGAAAGACCTGAAATAACAAGAAACCAGGAGCTATTCAACTCTTACGGCGGATCCTTATCACCAAAAATGACAGTTCTTGTTTTCATTTTAAAAACCATTTAAGTTCCTATGTACCTCACCACCAAAGTGGGCTGAAATGTTATGTTCCTTTCTTTAAGAATTCATTGTTCATTTTAAAGATGAAATCTTGAAACTTTTGCTTATCAAGTAAGCCGAGACATTTCGTAAGATGTTGTTAAAAATGTGCTCAGGGAAGTTTTTAATACCTTCGTATCAAAACACAAGCTAGGAACGCCGGTAATTTCTGTCAGTGGAGGAAGAAAATTAGAATATCCATCAATAAACGCATCACCTTTTGCTAGAGTGTTAAGTAAAGCTTTGGATTTTTATGAAAACAGGTCTAAATAACGACTCGCAAGCATCAAATATTTCAAGTTTGACTTTCGCAGTTTATTTCACTACGCCCTACATTTTTGGTTTCTAGTAAACCCTTGGGGGCTAATTTAGATCACAATGGACGAGTCTGCGTCTGACACTGACGGACGTTTCTACGTTCATGGCTTCTCTCCTAATGAGCTGCTTAACGATTACCTCTATAGAAAAGAAGAAGTTATCAAAAGTTGAAAATTTAACAATTCACCCTTTTGCGTTGTAATTTGCCTGTTCAAAAATACTGATGTATGATTCCTAAAACCTCGCATGACTGATTTCTTATTTGCGAACAGCGATGCATTTTCATGAGGTTTTTTTATCTTCTTAACAAATTGGCATAATAAAGAGTCGCAATTTGTAGCTTTTAAAACTAATATGTGGTTCGAACGTGACCAGAAATATTGAAGTCAGTCAACAAACAAAAACGATTAAAATACTTTACATGATTGGCATTAGTATGTCAGTTGTTGACGCTTGACTGCCACTTTTATTTAGAACTCATTTCAGTGGCAACCCTTGCTGAAAAAAAGAAATTCTTCATAGTTAAAATTGCAATTATTTGAGTTACCTGTTCTCGTTTTGTTTGTTTTTTATGACGTCATGATGACGACAAGCGTAGGTGTGAAATTAATGCACCCAAAACATGCGGTTTTTAATGGTTTCTCTATCCTGTGAAATTTACATTAGAGATAATTAATCCCAAATTGAAGGTTTTACAGCTCGGCAGGTGGACACGGTTGAGACAATTAATAATCATATCATTTCTTGCCATGGTCACATTTGACTTTTCATTTCCCTAATTATTCATCTAATTGATTAAACTCAGAAATGTTCTGATACAAGATATCTTGACTCCTGTGATATACTCTTGTATATAAAAAAAAAAAAAAGAAAAGCAGCTTTAGTTATAGTTAAAACGTTATCACTTAGCCTTATTTTCAACTCGCAATTCCACGCTGAATACCTTGCTTTGTTAACGCGGTTACAAAATGAACAGGAGTAACTGAAGTGTCATCGATGCACCTTCCTTGTTTTGGATGACATTCAAATTGTTCAGAACAATAGATCTGAAGAGGATCTGTACAAATTGGAGAAATATAAATTCTTAACATAAATCGGGAACAATTTTGTATTGTCTTCCAATGACGCACTCTAGAATCCATGTCTAGATCATGCCATTTAAATGTAATGCTACTACCCCCCCTCCACCTAGCTCCCTCACCCCTCCCCTCCTCTGATTTCCTCTCAACTACCATCCCTGACTCTTTAGGAGAAAATTCAATTTGCTCTCGTATTACAATGATGATTTGGTGAATTTGTGGAGCTATTTTAACAAAATTCTAATTATGAATTTCAACGGTGACTTCCAAGTGTGTTCTCTGTAGAATGTAGCAAATCCCTTTACTTTACTTTGATGAATGATGAGTTGGTGTTGCTGTCTCAGGTTTAGACCTAACCCAGCTTGAAAGCGAGAAAAATGAAATGCACAATTTTTAAACAAGACTAAACTTAATAAGCACAACAAATGATGAAGAAAACAAGTCTTGATTTAAACACTTAATCATGTTTAATGCCTCTAAGCACCTAACTGAGAGTAAATGGGTGCAGGTGACTTGTCAGTGAAACCTTGCCACGATGAAAGGTGTAACCGTAAGGACTGGCGTCATGGTTGCTTTTGGATTCAGGACAATTTGGATCAGATCTGTTCTATGAGCCCTCTGACATGAATCAGAATGTGTTCACTGCCGTGTTGTTGAGTTTCAGCTTTTGGCCCTAAGAGTGACTGGCTTTTAACTTCTTACATTATCACCCTTGAATTTAATGTAAGCTTGTACACTTTGAGGATAAATATAGATCATTGAGCTTTCGTCTCTAAACAGTGCTGGTTGATCTCTAGTACATCAGCAGGGAGTTTAAACACTGTTGTACTTTAGATAAGCATTTCCTTTAGATAAGAAATGAAAAGAAAAAAAGATTAATTAGGGAATAGAGTGTCATTTACTACCACAGAAGCAGCAACTACATTTAACTCTTCACTGTTTCCCTACTGCTCCTTTGCTTTGGAGGCCAAGCAATGGAAGGTGACTATCTAACTGTCACAAGAATGAAAGTTCAGAAAGGTTTCCATTACATCAGTCACTTTTATCTATTTTAAACTGTCTAACCAAATTCACTTCTGAATTGTTAAATGGATTTAGAAGTGACTACTTTATTAAACAATAGCATTACAAATAGATTAGACATACCAGGAAGCACTAAACAAGTTAATAAAATATAGAAAGATCATTACAAAAATTATTAGATGCCTTGGAGTTTGCAGCTGATAAATCCCAGTGGGAACTAGCTGACAATTCAGTTCATGATGAAATAAATGTTACAATTGATGCTGCAGTGCTAAATATCATAAATGAAATTACATCAGGTTGGGTTGACCTGTCTACAGATTCATTTGTTAAAGGTTGTTTGTCAGAAACTTATTTGGGCTAGTGATTTAATTGTATGTAAGACATCCCTTTCAGTATTGCTGATGATTCATCTCATAAAACTGAGACAAAATGTTGAAAACATAATCCACGTACGCTAAACAGTAAAGACTGCCATGCTGATTTCTGCTGTAAGTTTTCATAAAAATTAAATACATGTTGAAATTCGGTTTGAAATAGTTAACGAAAGCATTTTTGTTGGTAAGATAATAAAAGAGCTGATATTTGTGCTTGGACATAAAGTAAGATAACTAGGCATCACTTATATTTTCTTTCCCCTTATTAGTCAGCTAACAGTTAATTGGTGAGTAAATTTTTCATAAATAATAACTTCGCATCATTCCCATAAATACAAAAACAAGTTAAAAGTTTAGTGTAGAATTGTACACACACTTAAGTCTTGCTTCATTGCTTTGCAAACTTACAATCTCACTGGCTGTTTTGGTTCAGTACTACAATAAGGAATAAGGGGACGAAGATAATTCCCACGAGTCAAAAATAAAAGATAAAAGTCGTTCGTGCTATATTGGTTTTTTTACTTGAGTGCTACGGGGTTGTCGATTACATAACTTCTAGGCTCTGCAGATATTGTAAAATAGCAATTTCGGCGCGACATCATGATTAAAAATTCTGAACCGTTAAAGTTAGGTTTGTGCTGATCTAAAGATTTAGTGAAAAATATGGTAAATAGAATTGGTATTCAAATGTTGATTTTACTGAGTGGAAGGAACCTGTCCGTTAATAACATGAATGGTAGCGGTTGGAGGAACTGACATTGCGGCTGGACTCGATGGTTCGTGCTTCTTTAAAAACTTTATGGCCTGTACTTTGTTTTCTGCCTTTCCTTTGGGACTTTCAAAAACCAACTGAAAAAAAACACAGAAACAAAGACAAATGACATCGTTGTAAATTGAATGGAGCAAGGTCAAACAGACTTCCCGCGTAAACAACAACAAGCTTACCTCTCCTACGCCAGAAACTGCTCCGACATCTGACATATAATTGCCTTCAGGGATAGCCAAACTAACTATTTGAGCTGGTGGAGCATGAGTGCTAGCAACAGCAATTTCCGTCTGGTTATCTGCGGTGAATTGATGATGGACTTTTGGTACGACCGCGGCGTTCACTGGAACTGCTGCCACTTCATTCCACGAATGTCCTGGGGAGAATGAATATGGCGTAGGCTGGAGATAAGAGTTTCCTAATACAGCTGTTGTAGTGTAGATCGGTTGAGAAGCTGAATGGGAAGGCTGAGGATACGGACTCTGCGACTGGTAGTGCATCTGTGGGGAATATGCTGGGACCAAAACGAAGTGTGGCTGTTGATTCATCTGAGAATAGTACATGCTTCCATCGGATGTCGAAAATGTGGCATAGTAGCTGCCATGACTTGAGGTATCATTCGCGTCTTGTCGATGGTAATAGTACTTCCCAAAACTTCTTTTGCTCTTTCTTCGGACTGCTTTGCCAATGTTCAAGCTTTTACCCTCAAATTCAAGACTCTCTTGGTCGCGAACTTTATCAGCCACTTCTTGCGATTCGAATGTAATGAAAGCATATCCTTTGCTAAATCCGTTACGGTCTCGAACGACTTTGCTTTCCTTGACTGCGCCAAATCTCTCAAAATAAGATCTGAGCTCGTTTTCAGTCGTTTCCGGAGAAAATCCTTTGACGAAAATTCGCTTTCCAATGTCAATGTCACTCATAATGTCACTTAGTAAAAAGAACAAGAGAAAGAAAAGAAACTTACAGTTAAGTCAGCAGCGGAAAATAGTTATAACTAATACGCGCTTGGGGCGTTTTCCTCTCCTTGCATCTTGGGAAACTAGATCACGTGTCACGTTTAAGATGTCAATTTTCGCCTGCTGTTTCCAGGTTGTTTTATCATTTTTCGATTATGCTTATTTTATGGAAAAATTAAATACATTTTACATCCTGATCATTTGCTTAAGCATTTCAGTCAAGGGAATTGTTTGTTTACATAGCTGGGGAGACACGCAGTCTGAAATACTCAGATCTCTTCATAATTCAGATGTCAATCAAAGAGTATTTCATTGGATTTCTAAGCTGTGGTTTGTCTGTCAAGCGAAGGGTCTTTTTGCCGACACGTGTGAAAGGTCGTAAGATATGAAGCCGGCTGATTCATTGAACTACTTCCTTGTTTGAGATAAATAACTTTTATTAAAAGGAAGTGTTTTGTCTTTTTGTGATATAGGGTACTTTCCTTAACGAAGGTAGATTACGCTTGTGTTAAGATAAGCTACTCATAAATGGAAGCCAACACATTTATTGATTTTTCGTAATTTGTTTAGCTCATTCGTTTTGCGTTCAAGAGCATTCAGGTGTATGTTTGATTCGTTGTGGTATCATAATCCGTTTTCAGTTGCGTTTTCGAGCACATTTTCTGGCGACAGAATCTCAAGGTTTAACCGTATGAGCTGATTAAGAACGAAGCGTAATTAAAAGATAAGATTGAAGAATTCTTTAGTTTGAAACGACTCTAAGCTTTTTAAGAAAGTTCTCGCAGGAACCTTTAATGCTATTATATTGCCAAATTCTCGAGGCAATAAATGCTATCTAAAATAATTCAATCTGATTCTACTAAGCTTGAAATTCGATGAAGATCAGCGGCCCACAGAAATAAGTGACTTCACGCTAACCTGTGAGGCCAGTTCATATGCTGTTGTTTTTATTTTTACCTCCTGTCGCTGGGAAGCCGCAATACTTTGGGATAGCTGTGTAAGAGTATCCTGAAAATCAGTTCCGTATTTAGCGCTGGCAAGATAAAATTGCTGAATAAGGATGTTGCATTCGTTTTTCATCGACGAAACAACGAAATTCAAATAAGATATAGGTAGTTTTCAATAAAGTCCAGCACAGCGGTTTAAAAAGTGTTGAAGCAAGTATGAAATATTTACAGGTAGAAACAGCATATTGCAATCAAAGGCGATCTGTCATGTCGTGTAACTGAAAATCTACCTGATGTGTCACTTTTAATATGACATTAGACTGGAAAACCACTTTCTCGTGTTCTGAACGGAGGTTAAGAGATCCTCTATATTCTTAACAACTTTCTCGAGCGAATGAATGGCCTTCTTTATGGCAGAAAATAATACAGTGCATGACGATCAAAAGGTTTGCGATATTTTTTAATTGAAGAGTCAATGTAAACATACAGGAAGTGAAGCCAAGTGATTAAAGCGGGGTTAATTGGCAGAAGCTGTGGAAAAAATCGAAACACACCTACGGTCCAAATCTATAAGTACATTAAATAAAACGATTGTTACTCGATATACAATTAGCTTAAGTAAAAGAAATAACAATTGCTGGGATTTAGATTACGATCGCTTGTCAATTCACTTTTTCGATGGCATATCTCGGAGACAGTTAAACGTGTGCTGCATGCCATCAATGTCTTGTAATTTCACCTGTTAAGAATCCTTCACCTTAACTATTATAAGGAATCTATCTGGCTCCCTAGCTACAAAATATTAAAACCTGAGTTTTTTGTCACTTTCAATTTTTTTTTCCCGGTGAATAATTTATTGTATATCTGTCGCCTTTCGTCTTTATTATAGGTAACGATAGTTTTAAAAGCAGTAAAACCGCTAGTTTCTCCGTGACAAACAGGCTGATTGTTTAGAAACTCCACAGTTACTCTCCAATTGTCAAAACTCCTTGAATTCGATCGAGTGAAATACCTGAGGAATAATAGGACTTTCTCAACATATTTGAAATTAAATTCACGCTTGGGTCGACTCAGTTATACGGCTGTGGTTGCGCTATGAATGGCTGATAAATTAAATGTGACGTGTCCAACCACTGCCGCTGGGAAACACGCATTTTTCCCGAATCTTCTTCTAGTATAAACAAAGCATTGAACGAAACAGAAAAATTTCATCAAACAGTTCTTAATTTCATTATAACAATAGGGTTCTGCCGACTCCTAAGCTGTAATCTGCTCAGTCTCAGTGAAACTGATATAATTTATTGCCTTGATAATAACATAAAAATAGTTTTTCTCAATCCTGTAATGAATTCAGTGCAGACACGATGAACAGACAGAAGGATACGCAAGCAAATAGCGCCGAGGTTTAAAAGAGAGTGGCAAAAAAATAACAAACAGCTTCCAAATGACACACAGCGGTTTGTCGAATGCGAGAACAATACCTCAGATTTTCAGGAGGTGGAAGGGGTTTTTAAAACCCTGACCGCAATAATTAATTGAGGAAAACAAAAATCAAAGTAAAAAAGGCGAGAGATGGTCTGCCTTCACTTTTCTCATCAACTAAGTTGACAAAACTTAACATTTCTGGCGCCCTTTTGTCTTCATTTAGTCTTAGTTAATTTGCTCCTATTTACGTAAGGCCCGTTCAATTTCGCTTTACTTGAGCGAATTTAATTTAACTTGTTAGCTATTGTTAATTTACTAATGTGTCAAATAACCTCATTTAATCGATTTTGCATTTTGTTCGCTTTTCGTTGAATGTGACTGTACATATTTAGCTTTGTAAAGAATAATTTCCTGAAGTCCAGAGCTTGTGCTTTTTATTCATTTTCTTATATTTGAGGAAGCACGTCCTCTGGACTAAAATTTCTTTATGTTGCTAGTTAGTGAAGAGCTATTTTTTATTCAGCTCAGTTGTAAAGTCAGTTCCAAGCTTGTTTTCTTTTCAACTTACTTTAATAACCAAGGGGAAAATATCTCATTTCCTCTAAGTCAAATCGCAAAGCGGATTTTCTTTTGAAAAACCTCGAAAAATGAAACGTGTCAAATGAGATTAACACGGCTCAGAGACAGAACTAAGCATGACGGGTTGGGCCTGTTTTCTTTATTTTTTTAAAGTAATATCTTGACGTCGTTTCATCAAACGGTGCACATAACTACGAGCGGGGCAAAACAAACGCCTTTTATTGGTTTACTTTATTTTATCTTTGCACAGGAATCATTACAATCAGGACAGGTAATATATGGCGGGGT